TACATTTTACAAATAATCACATTTAAATAATAATTTAATAAATATATATATATATATATATATATATATAAAATAAACAAAAGACATCAATGAAAATGTACTAATCATAAAAAAAAGCGACGACACTCTACTTTAGATGTCATAGAGCCTAACTTTTAGGTGAAGGCTAATCCAATTCTTACGTTTCCACTTGACGTGTTACTGACGTATATGCGACTCTCTTTTCAAACTGAGCTCGAGTTGTCAATCGCTCTGAAGGACACTGCTCAACGTGCTGCTGTCAAAAGGAACACTCGTGCCACTGATTAAGGGACACATAAGGAGCACGTAGTCTTAATACATTTCTGACTTCATACGTTCAGCTGTAATTAGCTTCATCCTGACACGCATCCTGCATTGTGTCTCCTTCTAGACAAATCTGCAAAGAGTTCACGGACCTGCTCTCGCAAGACCGCTCGCCCTTGGGGAATTCACGCCCACAGCCCATTCTTGAGCCCGGGATTCAGAGCTGTTTGACCCACTTCAGTCTTATTTCTCATGGATTCGGGACTCCGGCCATGTGCGCGGCCCTCACGGCGCTGCAGAACTATTTGACGGAGGCCATTAAAGCCATGGACAAAATGTACCTGAACAACAATCCTAATAGCCACAATGAGACGGGCTCGAAGGCGGGTGACAAAGACGAGAAGCACAGAAAGTGATGTCAAGCCAACACATCCCAATTGATGTATGACAATATACATATATAACAAACACTAGTGATCAAGATGAAACACTGAAAGCACCACCTCCCGTTCTTGACATTTTGAAACTTAAAAAAAATAATAATAATAATACTAATAAAATAGTTATTTGGGATTCGTGGACAAAGCATTTCTTTAAATCAAAATAAAGCAGTGTGCCAATGAAAGGAGTATAGATCGGGTTAATCTGCCATAGCAGGACTTTTCATGAACTCCCTTTGTATGAGTTCAATGGACTGAAATTCAGCGATTTCCCCTCACTATCCCCATTTACGATTGTAGCCATGTGACAACAAGAAGCTGAAAGAGGAAGATTTTTTTATCAGTATTGTGAATAAACTAGAAAGTAAAAAATTCTACAGCTCCACAACATGACTTCAACAACTGACTTTTTACTCGACCAAGCGACCAACTTGAACTTTGAATTTCAACACGATTCACAGTTATATGAGGGAATCTGTGTTCATGTATGTATATATTTATTTATGTGTAATTTAATGGGAATTGTAAATAAGGTACGTCTGTTCAAACTTCTTTTTTATTTATCTGGTGCCTCCTGTTTTAGTGGGTTTGAATATTCGCTTAGTTCTTCATGTGGTTTTATGGTTCTTAGAAAACAGAAGTTTGGGGTATTCTTCTCTGGGATATTTCAATTCAGCCCTCTTGTAGCATGTTGAGGCGACACTGAAGCAAGTGAACAAATTTAAAAGAAATAAACATCAATTTCTCTATATATTATTATTATGCCATTCAGTTTTAGATCGAAAAAGGTCATTGCAGAGACTCCGACGATGCTAGTTTTGTGTTTCTATCTTCTTGTTTTTATACGAGCTTTTTATGTGTTGTGCCAATCACCTCTTGTTCTTCCCTCAAAGCACCACAAGAGCAATAAATGGATACTGTCTTAAGAATTCTTCTTCTTTTTCTTCCTTCCTTCCTTTTTTTTTTTAATTATATTTTTTTTAATATAAATTTAACATTTGGGACTATCTGATATCTTGTGTGTCCATTGTCTAAATTGGAGGCGGTTTTATCTGTATTGTATAAACCTGTGCTGGCAATAGCTCCCATGCCTGTCAATGTATTATAGTTCTTTGTTGCCCATAAAAAAAAAAATAAAATAAATATTTGATACGCTTCATGTCGATTTTTATTCATTACTTTTTTCTTTATTCACTGCTCGCTGCGATGTATTCCTCTCTCGCTCGCTCTCTTTTCTATTCAGCACAGTTACTGTAATTGAGTTTAACTCTCCCTTGACGATTGCTCCATGCAATAAGCAGTTGAACCCATTGTTTCCCTCAAGTACAATAATAAAAAAAAAAAACTAAAAAAAAAAAACTTACTTTCACCTCTTGGTTCAGTGTACAAGATCATTCAAATATTGCAGGGAGCTTTTTGCCAAGCCAAATGACACGGAAAACAATGAATTCTCTTTCGTGTTTGAAGCAAATGTGTGTAGTTTTAGCCCTTGAGCAAGAGCGCTCTTTAAATCAGTCAGATGTAGAATCCAGTTGAAGGTTAGTGCATTTGCCATTTTCATGCATTTATTTGTAGACATCACCTTACTTCTCCTAAAACAATGTCACTATGCTAAATATTTATGTCATTAAAATGCAGATCTATAGTTCGTTGAAATCATTTTACAGTTCGTTTTAACGAAATTGAGGGCATGGCACTTAAAAATGGCGTTAAAAGAAAAGCAGCATCCATGTCGTAATTTTACTTTTCCAATTAGTTTAGTCATTGGGTACACTTGCAGATGTCATGCCAGAACACGTATGCTTATTTTGTGCATTGCATAACTCATTTTCAAATAGAGTTTGATTGTTTATTGATAGCACGAGCCGGAAATCAATCTCCATTCGAGCTTGCTGGATTTGCTTGCTGTGTTCTGTTCATGTACAGCAGACTTCTGTCATGGCACTGAGAAAAGAACTGCCTGCACAATATTTCACCGTAGTGGTTATTCGTTTAAAACATTTTTTTTTTCTGTGCTCAGACAGTCTGTTCGACTCCGATGCAGTTGTTTTCAAATAACATGAACGGAGCCTAACTGTACATGTCCTTGGCATAATTGCAATGCACAGTGTAGCAGCAGGTGAAGCGAGGCATTGTCTGTCAAGACTGTTTTTGTTGGCTGCTTCTCAGATTGTGTGTGGGATTCTAACCTCGGGCACAATAGCTCTCTCAGAAAGGATACCCGGCTGCTGCTCCTGTTCAGGCGCAGAAAAACGCGCATGAATAGTCATTTTAAGGGAAATCACAATCATGTTAAATCGTATTCATCGGAATTAGGAATTCCTTCACGTGCATGTGTCATTAACGCTAATGTCATTGATTAAACGTATTAGAGGCCGGACGGATTTTTTTTAACTCAGTGAAAGCATTTGTATATACCAAACAAGCAGAACATGCCTACTTCTCTCTTCCTTGTTGGCTGGTACAATTTTACACACGTACCCTTATACCATGGTAGTTATGGCATTTTGCACATTTGTAGAAACTTTAGACATTTACTGCAGTGTGTTTAGACGTTAAACCGGATAATTTCCACTAGTGCCTCTTTATATCTTTTAAATTTTATCTTTCAAGCTATCTTTTAATTTTAAGGGTGCCACAGTTATAGGTTAGATGGTAGGCTATTTGACAAGCCCCTTATAATGATACACATAGCATGCAATATTACATGCGTTCACCTTGAGCTACTAAATATGCACATAGTTGTTTATTTATAACTTACCGAAAGCCCTAGTTATGTCTATTTATTTTGCCATATTCATTGATAACTTTCAGCGCAAGACAGCGTACAAAAAAAAAAAAAAAAACTTGATACTGGAGATGCGTTTGGGCTTAGTTCAGCACCTTTGGACTTGACAGCTCCCGTAAAGAAGGTTTGCGTAATACTGAGCAATCTACAGGCTAGTTTGGTACTCTGCTCCTCCGTAAAATAACGTTCGAAGTAATTTAGGATGATCTTAAGAGCATGATTTGAACCATAATCGGAAAACCCGGCACTTATTAAAATATCATATGATATGCTCTGTTGTTGTGAGCAAACTTATAAAGCGAAGTTAATTGAACTGAAATACATCGCACGGTAGTTTTATTTTATTTTAATTTAATTTTAATTTATTTTATTTTAGGTATAATAAACTCAATGTGCCATAGCAATATTTTTCACGTTCGTTAATAAAAATAAATTAAATGCAGGATGCAAAGTGATAAATAAAATTGTTATGGATGAGCAAAACACTAATAAAACAGATGGAAATAAATAGCGGTAATGATTTAAACAAGTAAAATATTTATTTGATCGCGGTTACAAGATATAGCCTACTGTCTCACACCGAATAACTGCTCATCTAAACCTTGAAGATTAGGAATGTTTTAGGAAGGAAAAATCGCAAGGTTCGGGACAAATGACACACGTCCCCAATCGAATGAAGTGATTCTATATCAATGATGTTTTCAATGGAGTGCAAAATGGTTAATTGTGTTGGACTCGTAACTTCATCACCCCCTCAACTGACCCCTCCCGACTAAATTGAGTGGGCCCCCTTAATGTCAAAAGAGGTCAGAAGCTTCATCAAATCACCCATAATTACTTGAGACATAAGGTAATCGATTAGATAACTTTACGTGCCTTTGAATAAACAAATTATTCCAAATAATTGGACACTTCTATAATTCAGAAATTTTGCATTTAGCCTGGATAAAATTAATCTCTAAAAAGTAGCCTATTAGTTTCTGGACTTACACACGTATAAATATATAGGTTATAATAATATCATTATACCTTTTGAGAGTGAAGAAAATAAAAGTTATATAAGCGCAATAAAGGGAGAAATAAAATAACAAAAAAACAGATCTAACAAAGGAACAAGGTTGAATTAATTTGATATTGCTAACTATGTATCTTAGGAACTCATCAATTCAGTGTTAATTCGATTTACTTTTCAAGTTTTCGGTCATTAAAATGAACTGCACGTCCTGACCTCCTACATCCGAGTTCTTCACACATTCGTGTGCACCCCAAAATAAGGCGTCCACAACTGTTATGTTTCGCCCTTTTCCTCCAAATAGTTGATATTCTAGTTTCTGCCTCCTTCTCTCTCCTCTCATTCTCTGAAGCCAGCCGGGGGGAGTGTCGCCGCGGGCCAAACATATGCTTCTTTCCATTGCACTAATCCAAATTCAGCGTGCAGGAATAATTGCTGGAGTGGCCGTGCTTTCGCAGGGCTTTGTCCCGCTCTGGCTCCCGTCAGCCAGGCACACGCCATTTCAATCAACTGCTTTTTGAGGGCTGTCTCTTTTTATCAAACCTCAGAACCTCGCCAGTGATGTGAACATTTAACAAACCGCTTCACGCTTCAACAAAAGCATGTAGGCTACATTGCGTACGAAGGGACCTGCAGTCTCTCTGTGTTTGCTTTGTGTATATCCTTGTTGGTTGGAGTTAAATTTATATAGGGTTGTATATCCCAATTTATAACCCGTCTCAAAGTGATGACTCGTTGCGTTGATCACTGTGAAGTTATCAAAAGTCAAATTTAGTGATATTTAACAAATGCCAACACTATCCGCACGTTGTTTATGGGCTATTTCTACTTGATCTGACACTTAAATGATAGTAGCTATAGCCTAGATATTATTTACTAGAATTAAACTATTTAGATATAACAACATATCCAGCTAGTTAAAACGGAATATTTTACAATGAAGAACCAAATCAATGTACGCTCTGAAAAAATAAAAAAATAAAATAAAAAAATAAATACAAATGTAATATATAAAATGTACATGGCAAAAATAATGACAAAATAACAAAATAATAATATACATGACAAAATAATGTCATGTAGCTATTAAAAAAACTGATTTGGTTATGTGAGACAACGTCTTGCCTGAAAGTTGTCCTATTTATCAGGTACAGTTAGTGAATAGATTATTATTATTATTATTATTATTATTAGCGGTGCACTTTATAAATATTTAAGTTCTGTGTTTTTTTCCCCTGACTTGTTGAACGCTCTATTTTACTGTCTTAACTTTTTCTGTGAAACAGCGATGGAAAAATTAGTCGGCCCATTTGCTTGGGAATCGCATGTTTTCACGGAGAGGGGATAGTGAGAAAGAGAGAGAGAGAGAGAGAGAGAGAGAGAGAGAGAGAGAGAATAGGTGTTTCCCATCTAACCCACATCTCATCTATTGCATCATTTCATCTACATGAAACACTGAACCTGTTCAGCATATCATTACTAAAATAAATGCAAACATCTCGGGAAAGAAGTATAAGCTGTCACACAAATATTACTGTAAATTCAGGCATTTTAGGGTTTGGTTTATTTGGATGATTTTTATTATCAGATTGATTTGTGTATTGTTACTGAGCCACTATTTCATCAGAAAGATGGCAGGTGAATGCTTGGAAACTTGCAGGATATGATTCAACATAGAGTATGCCACTTGTTAAAGTTGTGATTTGTCATTTTATCAACTTCACGATCTTAACTGTGTGAAGAAATAGCCATACATGTACCTTCAAAGGTATATATATATATATATATATATATATATATATAACAACAGCAACAACCAAGTGTGGATAGTCATGTAAACACAACAAAAGACAGTTACACTGTCACTTCCTTCATTGACGTTTGTTATCAAATGCACAATAAATATCTCATCCTTGACCGTGTTTAAAACAAGTTTCATTAAAGTACTCCATTACTTGTAGAGCCTGAGGCCCGAGAGCAGCAGGAGAGAGAGAGAAAAGAGAGAAACAGCGAGATAAAGAAGGGTAGAGAGCTGTGAAAAGCTCATTGATAATTAAGTGTTGGTTGCTTACTGTGT